ATGAGAGGCAGAGGGATTGAAGGTCATGGTGAGGATAAAGAACAGGGTTAGGGAGTATATGGCAGAAGGAAAGATGAAATGATAAGAGATTATGATCAAACAAAGGAATTTCAGAGTTCATAAACATGGAAGTGGAGCATTTGTAGGAGATGGTAAGATAAAAGGCTATAGCCATCTCTGTGTGTAGCTGAGATGGGGAGTATGTCATAGAAATTGAGTAGACTGAGGAAATTGAAAGTTAGGGTATTTGAGGGAGCTCCAATATAAATTAATTAGTATGGAGGCAGGGGTTGGGATGGAAAGAAAGGCTGTGAACCAGGCACTTAATTCATTGGAAAAGGAAGGAGAGTGGCCTGGGGGGGGGGTCAATAGATCACAGGCCAGGGTCTAGATTAGGTGGTAAATTTGTGAACCTCAAAGGAGGAGAGGTTATTAAGTGATGGTAAAGGAGGGCTCTGGAAGTAGCTATGAGAAGCAAAGAATATTCTGTTTCATCAGAACCAGTGAACTGGTGGGGTGTGGGTGGGAGAGAAAGTGTAGCCAGTGCTGGAAAGTGAGAGATCACTTTTGTAAAGGCAAAATGGACTAGGTGGAATGTCATGCAGGCCACTTTTACTGCAAAAGCACATGAAGATGTAAGATGCAAAATATAAGATGTAAGATGAAATAAAATTAGAAAAGTGTAATGGGACCCAGACTGTGGAGGGCTTTAAATGTTGGGCTGAGGTGTTTGCATTCTATAAAGCAGCAACAGAAGATTGTGTTTTAAGAGTATCAACTTAGCAGCTATAGAGAGGATGGGTTCAAGAGGTGAAGGGAGGCAGGGAGACCAATTAGGTCCTCATTCTCTTCTGCACTTGGAGAATCTCACAACTCATTTTCCCATTGTATCAGGGAAAGCCAGGAGATCTAAGCAGAGGGCTGGGTTTGAGGGACAAATTAATGAATCCTGTTTTGGACATGCTGAATTTGAGATGCCAGTGGTATGTTTTAGTCCCGCCATTTATCCATGGTGCTTTACTGCCTCTCAAGCCCATCTTACAGATGAGGAGACTGATTCTTAGAGAGATTCAATGATTTGTCTAATAGTTACATGGCTAATAAAAGTTCATTGATCTTTTAGCAGCACTTTTTGCTTAATAAGGAAACCACATGTTAGCAGCAAATAGCCTATCACATTGGCTTTAGCTGAAAGCAAGCTTAGTACTTCACTTGCCTATGGTTTCTCGTCACTAAATCTAATTATAGCTACTTTTAGTAGAAAATTTTGGAGAGTTAAAGAGTTAGGAAGCATTGGTTAGGACTCAAGGGTAGGGAATCTGGGGCTTCGAGGCCAAATGTGGCCTTCTAGGTCCTCAAGTGTGGCCCTTTGACTGAATCCAAACATGATCATGAAGTTTGGGCCCCATGTGGCCTTGAGGCTGCAGGTTCCCCATCCCTGGTTAGGTTTTGGGGGTGAAACATAGCACCACTTAAATTTATTAGTATAATTGTTGCTGATAATGACTGATAATGGAAAGTATCCTAAAAGATGCTAGAGAGTATTATGTATATATTTTCAAACAAGCTTTTCTCTGTGCTGTTGTCACTGCCCCCAAACAATTGGTCTTTTCTCAAGATTTCACAGCAGCTATAGACACCTAGCACTGCGCTTTGTATACCAAGAGCTTAAATTGAACTGATATAAAATCAAGGCAATCCAGGCCTTGAGAAGAAAACCCCTCAGAGAGGAAAGCAAATACATTTTTAAAAATACAAGTCATTTCATTTCCCAGTTCCACTTCAACAGACAGCCCTTACTGGTTGCTCAAGTTAATCTGGGATCTTGTTGGCTGCTGGTATTTTCCCTGGGGGCATCTTGGCAGGGCTCCTGGATGGTTCAGGTCCTCCGTGGTGGAAGAGCCTATCCCATCTGTTCCATGCCTTATCAGCAGGACAAATCTTACAGTTGTTTCACAAGTGTGCTCTTTCACTCATGATGGGACAGGGAGGAATCTATTTCCCTTACTTTTTAAGTTTTCCCAATTGAGAAGCAAAGGGTTTAAAGGCTCTTTTATTTCTACCCACAAATACTGCTTCTGCTTATACTCAGGAAGAAGGGACTTATAGGTTCTGAGGGGGGAAAACCTTTTCTGTTCAGTTTAATTCAAAGTGTCTATTAAGTCTGCTTTGCGAAGGCATTGTTCTGGGTGCTAAGGGTACAGAGACAAAAATTGACTCAGTTCCTACGATCATGGAGTTTAGAATTCATTATGTCTTTCCTCAATTCATCAAGCATTTTTTTTTATGGTGAGGCGATTGAGGTTAAGTGACTTGCCCAGGGTCACACAGCTAGTAAGTGTTAAGTGTCTGAGGTTGGATTTGAACTCAGGTCCTCCTGACTCCAAAGCCAGAGCTCTATTTACTGCGCCACCTAGCTGTCCCCATCAAGCATTTATTAAAGTACCTGCTAGGCACTGTGTGGGGTCCTAGGGATGCAAGGACATAAGAAATTTGGGGGTACCAGCCTTCAAGGAACTTCCATTCTCCTGGGATGAACAACACACACACGCTGTAGAGTAAATACAAAATACAGAAACAGGGATTGGACCTGGGAGTTCATCCCCAGATAAGGAAGGAAACTCTCTCCTAGTGCAGCCTGGTATATACTCTGTAAGTTCAAGTCTTAGCCTAGAGTGCTAAGAGGCTGATGACTTGCTCAGGATCACACGGACACCATGTGCCAGTGGAAGGATGACCGAGGGTCATTGCCATTTGGAGGTGGTCTCTCCATCCGTTACACTATGATGTCTATCATACAAATGAGATTTAAGAACAAAATAAATTCAAAGTAATTGTTGGGATGGTGTGCCAGAACATTTATGACCAGGAAATCTGAAAAGGTATCTTGTAGAAGGCAATGTCTGAGCTGAGCCTTGGAAGGAGAGAGAGATTTTGGTTGGTGAGGGGAAGAGGGAGAGCATGAAAATAGGAGAGGGAGTGTCATGTTCAAGCAACAGCAAGTGAAGAAGTTTGGCTGGATCATAAAGTTTATTGGGGAATATGAAATCAATCTGAAAAGATAAATTGGAGCCAGATTGTGGGGGGCTTTAAATGCCAAGCAGAAAAGTTTACATTTTATCTTAGGAGTAATAGGAACCACCTAAGCTTCCCTATCAAGAGGGTGATT